TCGAGCTCTATTTCCATCAGTCCCCACCTGCTCAGCAAGAGGCTGGCAAGCTGGCATCTTGCTGTCTTCCCAGATATAGCCAGGAGTCTCAGGCAACAGCTAGCTGGTTTATTACTGAGTCAAATGACAGAGAAGAGATAGAATCATACCATCCCTGAGGTTCCAGGGGATGCAGGCTATGTCCCAAGGGCTGCCAGGGACTTCCAAAGAGGGAGCTGCTCCAGTACAGAGTATATGCCAGCTGGTACCAGCACTTTCTGGGGGACTTGAAAGAACTTCCAGTTCTAAGGACCGATCTTCCAACTGGCAAATATAGTTGGGCAACCACTTACCACTGACTCATGTCTCTTTTAACTTGGATGACACAGCAACCTTGGGCTTGCGAGGCATTGGAGATGGTAGGGAGGGCCACTAGATGCAAGGTCTCCACTTCCTTTTCCAACTTTGGGCTCCTCGATTCTTACTGGGATGCTAAGAGTGCCACAGCCTGGGCCTAGGCCTCTGCCTCAGTCATCTGGAACGCACAGAAGTGAGGTTCACCTGGCTGTGCCTTTCTCACTCATCAGTCTGGAAAGCTAGCCTACATCTTTTGGCTCTCATCTTTAGTCAGGAACTTAAACTCATCAGTTTAGCAATGTGAGGCCACATCAGTGTCTGCATGATTGCTGCCATGGCAGGACTCAATTCTTAGACACCGCCTCAGACCCAAAGAGCAGTTGCATCATACAATTTTAAAGCTTCAATGCACGTGACAGAAATGCCATCTCATCTCATGGGACAGTGGGAAGGGCAACATTTTCTAAGCTCTCACCTTCAAACCCCTCTTATGCGCCAAGTGCTTTGCTGTAGATGAGGAAATGGCTCAGTGTGTTCGTTAGCACATTCACTGGTAACTCAGCTGGCGCTGCAGGGCCAGGTCCAGGTCTGTGGTCTCTGAATCAGGTTTTTCCCACTAAACTGGTAGTTTTCCAATGGTCTCCTGTGGCACTGCTTTAGGTATTCTCTGCAAACATTTGTTCCAAATGTTATGTTAAATATTAATAACCATCTTTAAACCATGTACACTCAAAGGTTTATAACACATGTACTAGCTGAAGCTGCCTGAGACCTCACAGTAAGTTCTCCATGGCTATATGTGGCCTTTGCAGAGGTCACTGACTGGAAGGGCATTGGTCCAGTGTGATAATTAGGCCCAGTGCCAACTCAAAGCTAGTGGCCCTCACCATGGATTTTTTTTTTTTTGGAAAGCAGGATTTATTGAGAGGACTGAAAAGCTCCCACAGTGGGAGGGGACCCAAAGGTGCTGCCCCTGGGTGTTTCCTGCCTGATATATGGATAAGGACTGAAAGCAGATACTAGATATTTTCCTACAAATCTCTCTTTTCAGGCATCTATCAGTAACCACAGACTGCAGGCAAGCTGTGACTACTACTATTTGCAACCACTTATCTGTAAAACTCAGGACTTTTCCCCATATCGTATAATCAAAATTCAGAAATAAATTAGATACTGAGACAGCTCAAAACTAACCATTTGCATTAATAAAATATGCTCCTTCCCCACCCATTTGCATTGTCAAAAATGCCCCCTCCCCATCCCATAGATTTAAGATGTTATGACTTAGATGATAATTTATGCTAAGAATGTATCATTTGTTTTTATGTATTTGAAAACTTAAAGAAAAACAAAAACACTTGATTGTACTCTCATAAGCTTTTGACTTTGGTGAGGACGGCGGAGGAGGACTCATAATTTAAGCCTTTGATAGCAACTACTAAGCTCCTCTCCCAGATTTCTGGCTTTGTTAACTCTAAAGAGAACTGTGGTAATATAGTTATTTGCATAAGGTTGTCTTCTTGAAGCCCAAGAGCACAGGAGGGGGAGGGAGTCAGGAAAGAATGTTTTTATTTTTTAAGTTTTTTATGTAAATCATCTAAGACTGAAGAATGTTTTTAATTCAAATTCTGCTGTTAACTCATTGGATAACCTCAATGTCTTTGCTCCCTCTGAGCCTCAGTTTCCTCACTAAAAGAGGAGGTTGGATTAAATTAATAGTTTTCAGGCTTTTAACTACCCAAACCTTTCTTTATAGCAGATGTTACTTGGAAGTCTAATAAAGCTCTGAATGAGCCCGGGGTCCCTCCCCACAATGGTCCCACAGAACAGTATAAAAATCATGAAGTAGGTGATCTAAGGTCCTCCCCACCTCTAAATATCAGCAATTCATGCACCCTGCCTCTAGAATACAAATACTGGCCCCTATTGCCCCCTCCTTGCTAAGCTCCCCTCTGTATAACTAAGGGCTGAACAACTGTTTGTGGGTGAAAATGACAGATTTATTCGATTTAAATGGTCACTGAGGCTACAGCAGAATCAATGCTGTTACAATAGGCGAGCACTACTGTCAGCAGTAACACACAGTATATTTATTAAACAGCATCTGAGCCTCATGAGTTCCGTTTTCATTTTTTTAAAAAATCTTATAAACCAGTTGGGAAGCAGTTAAAGACCAATTTTAAATGCCAATGTAAAACAAATTTCACTAAAAATACAATTCAAATACAACTGCTATAAGCACTGTAAGAAAAGTTGACTAAGAACTCAGACATAATAGAAGAGCTTAAATGGTACATTTTTTTTTAACAATAGCAGCATTTAAAAACTTAAGTCCCATTTCAGAAGATGCCCCTTCCCCACCCATGCCCTCATACCTCTGCGCACCTGACTAGCCTAGAAGAGACCTGCTTGAGCAGGGGGGCAACTGGTATCTGCACAGAACATTCAGCAGATGAACTCCACACCAGCCAGGAGGAACAAGGCTTCAGTGCAGTTATATGCTGGGGACAGCAGGTCTCATGTTTAAAGTGTCAGAGGCTCAGAAGAGTCACTTTCTAGTTCTGACTAGAAGCCTCTTAAACATCTGGTCCAGCCTTCGAGAAATCTTGTCAGTAATCTTAACTTAGAACAAACTCCTTAAAAATGTGACTAGAAACTGAACAGCTGGGACTCCTGCCATGTTGTCCAAAACTCCAAATGGAATCAGTTATTTTGCCCCACAGCCCAGCACCCAGTTTTAACTCTGCTGTTAGCCCTATCGTCTGCTAATGCAATCAGGGGACACAGCTGCAGCCCTGGGGACAGGTTACTTGAATTGGCATCAGCTAAATGAAATCCTACAACAGTACCTTCAATTCAGTCCTCATTCTTACAAGATCAATAGAGGTCAGGGCACTACAGTTAACTTCAATAAGCCTGGGCTCTCCTAGCCTCACGTGCAAGCAGCCAAGTATTTCAGTCATCTCAAGGACAGCAGCTTGTAATCATTTCCTAGGATACACCTTCAATTCCCATTTTGGTAGTTTTTAATAGCCAGAGATGGTTTAACAGATCCTCTGGCACCATTCTGTTCACTCTTCTTTAGATCTGTGACAGTTATCATTTTAATTCTTGGTATCTTTGCTAATACAAAAACAAAGTGAGCATATAAGCAAAATTACTAGAGGAAAAACTTTCTCTACCTCCTCACCAGAAAATCTTAGTGTATTAAGGCAGCTGTCTCATTTTTTTGGACTGAGGTTAAGGAGGCCAAAGTATAGAAAGGAAAGTAATGAGAGCACCAGGATAGGAAAGTTCTGATGAAGACGACATCCTGGCTGCTCAAGGTCACTGTTAGTAACCCATTACTTCAGAGCAAATTCATCTAGAAAGTTGGCCTTGTCCACAAAAAACTGTCTTTCTCCATGTGTAGCTTCCTTCCTCAGGGCAGTTCCTTGTCTTCGATCCATATCACCAGCATCGGGGCTCTTTGTCTTCCTGTTCCCAGCAGCTCTCCATTTATGGGCCTCTGACGGCCTTGCTAGGCTACGCTAGGTCGGTATTCAATTCGCTGGGAGTTAAACCACAGACCTCAGGAACAAGAGCGGCTGTGTGTAGACACACACTCAGGTTTTTCACAAGTGGGTCTGAACAGACTAGGCTCCCTGGTGGTCTTAAGATGGCTGAGGTAGCACCTCTCCCACCAGAAAACAGGCTTATATTCTCAAACACCTGCTGGGTTGACACGGCTTTCAGACTGGAGCCAGCTGAGCTGTTTATAAGTGCTTGTGTACTTTAGGCAGAAAGGACATCCAAAAGTGACCTTGGAGAGACTGCTCCAAAGAGTTAAGGCCCTCAGGAGGGCTCTGAGAAGGTCACCCTTGGGAGCCTAGCCAACTCATCACAGATGCTGGGCTGGCGACCCCAGAGCCGGGTGCCACTCAACATCAACCTTCCCGAGGAGGAACTGTGTTAATACCTCACACACAGGCCCAGGTGATGTGAGGGATGCCCAATAGTGATGAGGGGAAAGAAAATCCACCTCTGTGAAGAGCAAGAACTAGTCTAAAAGTGAAGAGATGTTGCAGCCTCGCTTGGTGGAAAAAGAAGTGGAAGATCTGAGGAGCAGAGGCTCCTCCCTGAGTGAGAGGAGAAAGGGGAGCCCTCTGGTTGGGCATTTAAGCCAGTCACATCCAGTGCTGTTTCTGCCTCGTATGTTCTCTCTCTGCCCACCTCACATCTCCTTCCACTCCCCGCAGTTCCTAACTGCTGCCTGGTGCAGCCAATGTTCCTCCAGTGGCATCACATTAAGGGGCCAGAGCACTGGCCGCCCTGATATCAGAGCAGCAGCCAAAAGAGGAGCCTAGAGGCCAGAGGTACTTTTAAGGACTGCAGATGTGCTATTCTTCAGATAAGGAAGAACAGCTGACTGTCAAGATGTCTGCTTTACCCTCTTTTAGCTTGGGAGATCTTAGGGGCAAAATCATTACGAAAATGTGTTTCAGTGCTTGGGCACCACGGTGAGGCTCCTTGCCAAGGTCTAGAGTTGAAAAGAAATCTGTAGTTTTCCTTTGCCAAAGGTCAGTTTCCCAGCAGCACTTCAAACCACTTCTCCTATGTAAGAGGGAAAAGGGGTGAAGAGGGGATAAACCACAGGGCAAAGAATTAGAAAGTGTTAGCAAATGCTACCATGCGGAACACTCAACTTTATTCACTTTATTTATATATTTAACAATTCTAAAGTATTTACTTCTTGCTTTGACAAAAAATGAAAAATATAGGAGCATTGACTGACTCCTCTTTAGGAGAAAAGGGTTATATGTACAGCTACAGAGAGTTATGGTTCCTCCTTTACATACAAAGGAAAATATTAATAAAAAAGTGCTTCATTGATCAAAAAGGGCTAAGAGCTGCAAGCATTATTCACACTGTACATCAGACCCAAGAAACCCGTATCATAACCTCTTGGCACCTGTCACTAGGAACTGCACAATCTTCACTTAGACTGACTTTTTCCTACCTGCACGACCAGACCACACAGAGTGTGGAAAAGAACTACACCCTGTTTCACTGAACTCAAACTCTGAGCAACCTGATGCCGCTGGAAGTCAAAGACACTCAGACGCTCTGGGCTTTGCCTGGACTGACCACCAGGGAAGGCTTTTGGACCATGCCTTAACCACACTCAGGCACACAGGAGCCACCTTCCTGAGACACAGCTTGCCCTTGACCAGGAAACTACTTCTAAAGGGGAAGTGGAATACAGAGCAGGATCAGAGCTTAAGCCTTCCCCTGACCTTATCCCCACTTCTCACCATGATCCACCCTGTCACCAGTTAGCAGCTTTCAGCAGAGCCAAGCATGGCCCTTCCCCGAGAGGGAGGGCAGGCACAAAACACGGATGCCAAGATTACAAAGCACAAACCTAAACTCTTCTCCATCCTTCCCCACACCCATCTCTACCACAAATAGTCTTGATTTAAGGCTCTTTTTGGACCATATCAAAGCTCACTGAGGAAAGGTGCCATGAATCTCCTCTAGGCCATGTCACTTCTCTAAGGAACCCTGCAGAGTTATCTAGTGGCTCTTCACTGCTGGCCAGCAGCCAGACAAGTGCCCAGACGGCCAGGAGCAGGAAAGGGGGACTGCTTGGCCCTTCTTGCTGTTCCAAGAAGGGAAAGAAGAGGAAGGCTGATTGTATGGGGATCTGCTCCCTTTCCAGAGGCTTGTAACTCTAAAGGCTGATTCTACCCCTTAAGGGGGAGATCCATGATTTGTTTGGTTTGGGAATGGGGAATTTTTGGAACCCTGAGTCTGGATTTCCCTGTGCTAGCAGAGGGAAAGAGATTGTTTGGGGAACCAGGCCCTGGAAAGGGGACCCATATATGCCCGGGGCCTCAGGGCAGGCTTTGGCCTTGGCCACAGCAGCAGGACACTGCATTTTGGCCAGTCTGCATTCTTATGCCTGAGGGTGGGAAGCACTACACAGCCTGGCCCAGGGAGGTAGCCCTCTGAAAGTGAAGGGAGCTCAAGACAATCTGGGTCAAGTTAAAAATGGAATCCAATGGGGACAACATGCTGGCCACCCATTCCCAGCCCCTCTCATCTGCCTCATAAGAACATACATCTGCCTTCCCCAAAGAGGGCCCTGAGGCGTGACCCTCCCTCCAAACACCAGCCCCATCTATCCATCTATGAGGTGGGACTGGCCCAGCTCCTCTCAGGAGTAAGAGAGCACTTAAGGCAGTGCTTCCAGCCTCCCCAGCAGCAAACAATTCCCAACCAGTCCTATGTGGCGATGGTGTGCGGAATGGTCACAAATGTTAGCACTGGCTTTCTTTCCTCTCACTGTCTCAGATCTCTACTCCTGGCTCTGACCGGCCTCCACTCACAAGGAAGAACCAAGCCACCCCTCAGCGTCACCTGACAGCAGGTGGTTCTGCAGTTATAGGGGGCCTGGCAACCTCTAGTCTTCATTAAAAAAAAAAAAAATTAAGACAACCAGGGGACTTTTTTCTTTTTTGAAGGCAGAGAGAAAGGATGGAAAAGGTTGGGGGGAAATGGGGACAGACAGGAAACAGAAAAAAAAAATCCATCTACAATCCAGTGGTACATCCCAAATTTCTGTCACTCTGTACAGGCGGTTCCATGCCCCCATTCCAAAGTGCACGGGCCTCTCGGTCTGGCTGTGTGGGCCCACCGGAGGAAAAGCGGCTTGGCCTCTGCCCACCCCAGGTCACTGAGCTTCAGTTTGAAGTGGCAGCAATGGGTTTATCCAGTTCAAGGTCAATGCTGGAGCTCGTGGGATGTAGGCTGCTATAGCAAGACTTGCACACTCGACTGGGTTCAAAGAGCTGCTGGCTGGGAACCGGAACCTTCTGGTTACAACAACTGGAGCAGAATACATTCCCACAATTCCTTGAGATGAGAAGAAACAAAACAATGTTAGTGTTAGCTAGCAGGTATGGAACAGAAAATCCAACTTCAAAAGACAGACTGCTGTGTATAATTTGGATGTGCTAGAGTTTCCTCTGAGATCAAACACTTTCATTTCTCTAGTCCAGGAACAAACTGAGCAGGGAGGATGTCCCTACCTAGCAGAGTCATATGCCACTTTCACTTTGGGGCCAAGGATGCACGTCTGCCTTGCCACCATGAGTCAAAGTTACCAGGTGTTCAGGAGGATGCTGCTCAAGAGAGATCTGTGAGAACAAAAGGGCCTATCAGTGGGTTAGTCCTGATCTAGGGAAAACCAGTGGCCACACCTGGGCAATGGCTGCTGTGTGGTTTGTTATCTCTGAAAGGCCAGAGGCAAGCAGAGCTGTCTCTGGGCCCCTCGGATGAAACAAACAACTATCCAGTCCAGCTGGAAGTGAGGAGCCTTGCCCAAGAGCACCTTCCTAGAGGCTCAAAGGCACCAACAGAGAGGGTAGACTGCTGCCTCTTGGACTGCTCTGCTGGCAGCATGCAAAGCCAGGAGACAAGCAGCCCATGACACATGCTCAGAGAGTGAAAGAGGAGAGGTGGAAGGACAAGAGCACAGATGAAAGCACGTGCACACATATCCCCTTATTAGATAGGTGTCAGTCAGTTGCAGCTCACTCCCCTGCCCCATGCATCTCCAGGGAAAATTAGAGCTCTACCAGAAGGCCAGACTGCACCAAGGCCCCAGGACTCCCCCCTTCTCCTCCCCTGAAAGCCAGGCTCTGATGTGTCTGTGAGACATAGGTCTGCACACCCAGACCGATGCTCATCACAGTTAACAGGAAAGGGAACTGACAAAGGGTAAGTTCTGCCCACCTCACAACCCTACTTCTGCTGGGCCCTAAAGTACAAATGAATCCCAATGAGCCCAAGAACAAGAAACTCCATGACCGTGACACAGACCACCAAAGATGAGGGGGAAGGCAGCTTGTTAGTCAACATCACTCATTAACTTCATTTACGTTCCTCAGAATGTAAACCCACTGTTGGATTAAGGACCACTAAGGCACAAGAAGAGAGACTGCTGAGGACTACTGGGGACAAAAGAATACTGCAAAAGGAAAAGGTGGGACACAAGGCAATGGGAGGACAGAGAAGTAAAATAAATACATAAAATTCATCTCTAGAATGTAGTAAGTACTCCATAACTGTTTCTAAAAAGCATAAGTCAACAAGAACCTATGATTACACAGAAAAATTTCTGAACATCTGTATTTATTTAACATCTCTGCTAGAGTTCAGCTCAAAAGCCTGACATGAATTTGATCTGTTAAGTTTTTCTATCTGACTGCTTTCAGGGGACCCTGAAAGACCCTAAGTGGAGCATTCCCTTAAGGTTTTCCATGTCAATACAATTCTCTAGAAAGAACACTTCTGTTCAGTCCTGATCTCTTTAAAAATAATAATAAGAGTCCTCTATGTCAAATCCGCAGCCAGTATCATACTTAATGAGCTGAAGCTGAAAGCACTCTCCCAAGAATTAGAACACCAAGATTTCACTCTCACCACTCCTCTTTAACGCAGTACTGAGAGTCCTAGCCAGAGCACTCAGGCTAAGAGAAAGAAATAAGAGGTATCCAAATAGAAAAAGAGGAAGTTAAATTATCTCTTCACAGATGATATGTTTCTATATCTAGAAAATCTAAAAGATTCCACCAAGGAACTCCTAGCACTGATAAACAACTTCAGTAAAGTCTTGGGATACAAAAATCAATGCTCAAAAATCAATTGCATTTCTATACACCAACAACAAACAGGCTGAGAACCAAATTAAAAACACAACCCCATTCACATAAGCACCTTCCCCCTACAAAATACCTCAGAATACATCTAATCAAATAAGTGAACGATTTCTACAATGAGAACTACAAAATACTGCTGAAAGAAATCAAAGATGACACAAATGGAAAATGGAAAAACATTCCAGGCACATGGATTGGAATCTCAGTAGCACTAAGATGTCCATACTGCCTAAAGCAACCTACAGATTCAACACAATCTCCATCAAACTACCAGCATCACTTTTTACAGAAATAGAAAAGGGAATACTAAAATTCATATGGAAAGCCCAAACAGCCAAAGCAATTCTAAGCAAAAAAGAACAAAGCCAGACTTCAAACTATACTACAAGGCTACAGTAACAAAAATTGCATAGTACTGGTACAAAAATAGACACACAGACCAATGGAACAGAATAGTAAATCCAGAAATAAGCCCACTGACCAATTCATCTTTGACAAAGCCAGCAAAAACAAACACTGGGGAAAGGCTGGGAAAACTGGCTAACCATGTGGAGAAGAATGAAGCTGGATCCCTAACCTTTTACCACACAAAAATTAACTCAAAATGGATTAAAGACTTAAATGTAAGACCCCAAACTATAAAAATCTTAGGAGAAAACCTTGGAATCACTCTCCTGGACACTAGTCTGAGAAATGAATTCATGACTAAGTTATCAAAAGCAAAGGCAGTGAAAACTAATGTTGATAGGTGGGACCTTATCTAGTTAAAAATAGTATACATGGCCAAAGAAACCATCAAGAGAGTAAAGAGACAACCCACAGAATGGGAGAGAAAATATTTGCAAACTATGCATCTGACAAATGCCTCATACCCAGAATTTATAAGAAACTCAAATGAATCAACAGAAAAAAAACCATTAAAAAATGGACAAGGTGCCAGGCTTGGTGGCTCAGCCTGTAATCCCACGCCTTGGGAGGCTGAGGTGAGTGGATTGCCTGAGCCTGCAGGTTCGAGACCTGCCTGGGCAACTTGGTGAGACCTCATCTCTACAATAAATCAAAAAATTAGCCGGGCGTTGTAGCACATGCCTGTAATTCCGGCTACTCAGAAAGCTGAGGCAGAAGGATCGCCAGAGCCCAGCAGGTTGAGGCTGCGGTGGCCGGGAGCGGCCACTGCACTCCAGTCTGGGCAACAGAG